GGTCCTTATCTCTATTAACATCACAAGTAATTTCTTTCAACACTTGATAGTCTTAGAACATCTCTAGAGCCCTTGACCACTATAAAACTTCCCTATTTTTATGTCTTCTCCCCTTTATACTTCATGGTACCGAAATACCCTGCCCTTCCTTCTTGTCCTTCTTTGAAAATATCTCATCCATTCCCATATTTTTTCTTATATTTCTCTCTCTCTCTCTCTCTCTCTCTCTCTCTCTTTCTCTCTTTATCATCATCATCATTCTTAAGGCTGTTAACTATCACCTCTTTGGAATTTACCTCAAATCTAAAATTCGACCTCAAACTGTCTCCTAGTTTTGAATCCATTATTTTTAATTTCTCAATCCCTCCACTTGGATATTTTGCTCAATATCTTGATGTTACCATAACTACTTCTCTTCCTTTAACCCCACTTCCAGGTAATCTTTCTGTTCCTCCTACTCTTACTCTGGTTCATTAAGCTTATTACTTCATGTGAGCATTACTCTGAGATTTCCAATCTCTCATATTCCCCTTCTTCCCCAATCCCCAAGAAATCTTGAAATCTAAACTCCAGCCTGGACTCTGATGTTACTTTCATCTACTTTTTCTCTTAACCAAAAACTTCCATTGATCATCACCACCTATTGCTTACTAGTATTCTATATGTGTGTGTATGTATTTTCTAGAGAAGACCAAAAGCTGAGTTGTTTTCAAACTTTAAATTTCAGATGAAATAGCACAATATTTAAATACTAACAATTAATTTTAAAACAAAATGGAGGGTAGGTAGCACCTGTATCAAACAAAACCTACCTGCAAGCCTCCTGTCAGGTTGTGACCTGCAGCTTATGAAGTCAGTGGAAATGCCTTAGCTTGTTACTCCCAGCCTTCTAAGGCAATCCTGCAAATACCTTGTGAAATCAAAGGCCAATAACTCAGAAAAACCAACAAGTTGGTTTACTAGACTATCCTCCTAGGAGTCTTGGATTCGTTCTTAAATCTATGCTTTTGACATGTTAACCACACAGAAATGCCCCTCTTCCTTTTTGATCCAGTCCAAATGTTACCATTTCCCAAAAAAAATCTTCTTGGGGCACACTAGCTCATGGAAATATCCCTCCCATATTCCATACCCAGTACCACATGTCAGGGCACAATCTTAGACATTTTATAAACTTCTGCCAACCATTTAATCCTTAGAAATTAATGGAACTGTTATTGGTTCTCTCCTTCCATTACCTGATAATTTTATAGTTTTCTTGTCATTTCTTAAGTCATGAAAACATAAGCCTTCTTTCTGTTTCTAGAACTTGGTGAGTACTTCATACCTCATGGCTTTATATGGGCTATATTTTCTTTGCCTTCTCAAAAGTCTAATTCCTACTCTAGATTTAAATAAAAGTTCCTCAAGACTTTCCATGATCCTTCTAATGGAAGCTATATTACCCATTAATTGTAGTATTTCACAGCATTTACTGCAGCTCTAAATAGTTTTGTAATAATTTAGCATATGCTTCCCTTGCATTCTCCCTATATGGTGAGTTCCTCCACTGTCTCTTTCACCATTTTCTCTATAGTGTATGGACAGAAATGAATGGTTGATATCCTTCCATTCTTGGGAGCCATCTTAAGACTTGTCAGGATTAAGCAATTGTAATCTCATATAAACTAAAAAATTGAGCTCTTGCCTCTTGAGCAAACTACAATACTTCCACTATAGAAATGTTAAGTAAGCATAAATCATTTTCTAATAATCTACATCTAAAATCTTTTCCTTTTCAGTTTATAGTCATCAGCTATACATATTAAGTTCCAAATCAAAAGTTATATATCTTAGCCATGAATGCTGCTTAAATAAAAATAAAATAAAATTGGATTGCAGTGCTTCTAAAGGAAGGAATAAATTGATGGCCAGAGTCAACCACAATGCATAATGGAAAAGTGAATTGCCCAATACTTCAGAGACTAGCAGCTAGATTTCAATTTCAAAATAGACAGCAGAATGTCAGGAAGTAATAACCAAAAATATACACTATATTGTTCCAGGATTAAAGAAATAAGAAGGATTTCTAATCACTTCCTTTGATTGTAGCTCTCCACTGAAGTCTCTCTAATAGAGATTTTACTATCCAAAAAGCCAGGTGTCAACAATATGAATAACTATCAAACTGTGAGCCAAGATGATTTTCTGCAAGTTTAAAGCACCTACATGCAATTGAAATTAGTTGTTTAAAGACATCAGAGTTCAGTACTGGAAATGCATTTTAGAGTCATTCACTTCCATATATCATCCTTAAATATTTCTATTCAATGTTCATACTACTATATGTGTAAAATATTGGATAGGGTACCATTGTCAAAGCTAATAGACAATACTACTTATGTGTCAAAGTTTTTGATAAGTTTGGGGAATCTGAAGGGAGTTTGCTTCCAGTAAAACAAAGAGACAACCTTATAATGAAGAAGGAGACTCCCACTTGCCTCTGGGAAGCCAAAGGGGCATCCTCATATGTGCCAGCTCCAACTAGGAGAGAACAATTAGCTGTAGCAACCCTTCTTTATTTTGCTTAGATGTCAACATCTTCCTTCCCCAAATGGCAGGTTCAAAGAAAATAAGCAAAATTCCTTCACACCAATCATGCTTATATCCACTTAACACCTCCCAAAGACATACAGCAGCAAAATTCATCAAACCTCTATATCCTGCTATTTGACTATCATCTTTAAAACCAAACACTACTCTACCCTAGACCTTAGGAAAATACACAGAGGGGGAAGGGAGGAAAGATGTGCTCCTTGTGCTTGAGTTTGACCTTGTGCTGCAAACTGCTAACCAATTAGTAATATGTGCAATTAAGTATCTAATACAGTGATAGATTAAAACTGAACTATTTACTGAATGAAGTTTATGATTGCCATCCTACCTCTACTTCCCCTCCCAACACCATTCTGCCAAAAAAATTCTTTTTAAGAATAAATCACACTACTGCAATAAATTCAGAGTCAAAGTTGTATCATTCACTTTGATATTCTGGGCTGCTATGATATAGGTGAGGTACACAATTCCAAGAGTACAAAAATGAATGATTCAGATATAGTATTATAAAATGTCAGTGAACTACTTCAGACTGAAATTTTTTAAATACAAAGACTCTTTTCAAAAATTCTCATTGAAGACAATATTTTATGTACACAATTTTTAGAAAATTTAGTCAAGCATGTACTCCCCAGAGCCCTCACTGGACCCCACCAGCCCCTAGAATCACTACAATCTCTCTTTCCCTTCCACTGCTATTGTAACTACCTTGGCCCTCATTGGTTTTCAATGAGGAAAACCAGTGTAGTTTCTTAACTGAAATATGCGCACATTGGTTTTATGGCAAAGACAGCTACATAAGATAATTACAGTATCATATTATATGATGGACTTACGAATGCTAAGCTTTGAGGGTGGAGTGTGACAATAATCTCTGTTTTGAGCTGAGGTACACTAGGAGAATTTCCTGCTCCTAAAATGACTGTGGCATGAGACTACAAAGATAGTTCTTCCTCCTTTATCATTTACAGGGTCTGCTACATACAAGACATCATCTTAATCCTTTATTCAGTTAATCCTCAAATTAGCAATTTGCTTTTGGAAAAACTGAAGCACAAAGAGACTAAGTAACTTGACTGTGAATACAGTTAACAACTGTGAGAAGCAGAACTCAAGTCCAGAGAGTCTGGTCCTAAGCCCAGGCTCTTAGTCTTCATGGCTCCCAGAAAGCAAGCAGAAGCTATGTTTTATACTTTGTTGTACTCTTAGTGCCTGGTTCACTGTCTGGACACATTAAAAAAAGGATTAATTAAATCTACAGGAAAAAAATGAAAGGGAGGGGAAAGTGCTTGCATTCTCAAGGGAACATCATATAAACTCTCTCACAACACATCGGAGGGGACAAGGCATGGTAAGGATACAGAACAGCTCTTTCCAATTGCATCCCAGATTTGCTGCTCTAACCAGGGAGGCATTCATCAAATGCAAACTTGACTGTGTAGTTCCCCTCATCTCATTGCTGAGCAGTGTTGTTTGAACTTCTACAGATCATATCCTTTCCTAATAGCTTGCACATGACAGCAACCACACCCTTAAGAAACCAGGCACATAGAAGTCACACTGAGTTTCTCTCTCACAGGGTTTTTGCCTTACCCTCACTATCCTAGCAAATATGGCATCTGTTCTACAATGCATCCTGTTTGTTGTAATATTTAAAAAAAAAAAAACTTATAACTACTTGTAATTGCAACTCCAGGAAGAAAACTTTATTCCTCCTAACACCCTCTGGCCTATACCTGTACTGTTTCTGGGCACTCCACACTGCAGCTTCATAAACACAGTAGGGCTATGGATCAGCTATTTGGCACTGTACATAAATTTCTTCAGGTCCCAGTCCCTGATTATCTACCCTCTTCTCCCATCTCTCCAGCCAAGAAAATTACTAGTAACCACAGTGCCAATCATACTTCAAACTGTTTTCCGCCACGTGGGCTTTGATAATTAGAACTTTGTCTACTTTGAGAAGACAAAAAGTCGTCCTTCTAAACCCTACTCAGTTGTGATTTTATTGAAGTCTTTCCTCAATGGTCTTCCTCCCTGAAGCATGTCGATCTTTGGTGATAGTTCCCTATTTTGGTACACTGCCTACTTTATGTGGCAGTGTCTCCCCTACCAAACTGTGCGGTCCCTTGAGACAGGCCTTTGTTTTAGTCCCCTGAACAACCACAGTGCCAAACCGAGGCCTAGCATGCAGGTGTAATGTCTGATTTATGAGAAACTGGGATCAAAACAAGGATCTCAAGAGGACGAGGCAAGATAACTATATAAGATCTAAAGTAAAATTGGAAATTGAGCACATCTCAGATTTGGATTTTCATTCATGACAGAACTCCAGATTCCTGGTCCCAAGCCTTTGGCGTCCAACAAGTTAGTTAGGAGACAAGGGAACAGGCCAAGTCACTCACCAACTGGTGGAAGGCAGATATCTGTTCTCTAGCGTTTTGGTCCAGGGCTTGTACCAGCTGATCTGCTCAGCAGCTTTGCCCCAGAACCTCTCCGGGTCCGACACAGAGGCTGCGAAGTGGGTCTTGTACTCGCCGCCGCCCCCAGAGGACAGCGCCCGACAGCCCCGGCCCCCGAGACCACCCCGCGGGCCCGGGGCCACTAACGTCCTTCGGGCCGCACAGGCTCCTCGAGCAGAAGGGGACCCGGGCAGAGGCGCCCCGAGTCCCCCGGCGCTGGTGACTTTGCGACATTGTAGCCAGGAGGGTTTCATAGCCCCCTAGTGCGCTCGGGTGCAACAGCTGGGACCCGGACCGCGGGGAGCGAGCGGGAGGCGGGGGCAAATTCTGAGGTGAGCCCTGGAGCCGAGAAGTTTGGAAGTCACTCTGGAGTCGCCGGGAAAAACCGTCCTGGAGCCACAAGGAAAGCAACAGGCTGGAGTGGGGACCCGGGTGGCGGGTCACTGCGTCTTTGCTGGAGTCGAATTGCGCAGTTTCAAGAAACCCAACAGTTCCAACACGCATTTCCAGCCCCGGGGCTTCACCAGCAAAATCACGATCAATGGCATTGCGTCCTCCCTCCTTAGACGCAGGAGTACTGGGACAAGGACAAGGCACCCAAATCGCGCGCAGTTTTAAAACTAGCAAATTGTGCACGGGGTCCCTGGATTGATTGTAGGTAGAGGCGATGTCGCCTCTGTCCTAGAGCGGAATCCGGCAACCCTGGGCATTGCAACAAGGCCCCTGACTTATCATTTTTATTTATGTATTTATTTATTTATTTAAAACTCAACTCAATCTGCTTACTAAAAACTCAAGCGGCTCCGGGGTAACAAATGCTCCAGGATTTCCTCACAGCTGAGAGGTGGGAGGAGTGGAGGGAGGTTACAAAACAGCTAAATTGGGAAGTGCTACAGGGGTGATTGACAGGCCACTGGGGAAGGTAACCCAACCGGGATGGGGAGTCACTTGTTGGCCACAGGATCCCCACAGGATCTACAGGCTGAGGCAGAAAGGACTTGCTGCATTTCCTCTCTTCTAATTTGCCCTTTTGGAATTTCTGTGGCCTTCTTGTCTGAAGAAAAAACAAAACAAGACATGGTTACCGAAATGTTTTTGAGTGATAAAAATGTTTACAATCCCTTGTGGTGATGGTTACACAACTCTGTGAACAAACTAGAAGTCATTGTATTGCACCCTAAAGGGTAAACCCATTCATAATACATGAATTACAACACAAAAACTAAAGAATGAGCTAAATAAAGATGAAAGATATCCAAAGAAATGAAGAAACTGGGAAAATTAAAAGACAAATTGGTATGAATTACTGAGCTAAACATTCTTCAAGCTCTCCTGTTTTTTATACTTAAATTCAGATGCAATCTTTGCCTTAATACTATGCCAAACACATCCTGTCTTAGTGTGACAATAGTTACAGTTTTAAATGTAAAGCTATGTATTCCGAATTTGAGGTGTGAAGCAGTGAGATGCCCTGACCTGGAAAGGTTTATAACTTGAAAACCTATAAACAGGTGATCCTGCAGAAAGAAAATAATGTGGAGATAAAGGCTAAATAGAAAAGACATACATCTAATGCAAAACAGAAACAAAAAATCTTTTAAAACCCACCACAGCTACTGCCTTCTAACCAAGAAGCATGGCACTACACTTTTCCCTGACACCTACAGTATACTTTATTCTTCGCAAAGTTCTCAAATCAAATATCTGATGTCAAAAGACACTATCACCGCTTAAATACAAAGCCATTGAATCTCTTAGCTCCTTAATTCTTCTCAATGCTGCTCTCTGTCATACAAGTTTCATGAATCCAAACAACCCTTACCATGTTCCAATGATGTACATGTTAGTCATTCATTAACAAACACATGACAACACATTAAGTAATGTACATTTTTGAGGAGAGAGATATGAAGGACGGAACCAAACGGTTGCTTGTGCCTAGTATGTGCATCCGTTGTATTCAGCACTTTTAAGAAAAACATCAGTTCCTGTGATTCTCCTAAGAATAGTAAGAAGAGGAAATTATAATCCCCATATTTACAAAAAAGATGAGAGATAGATTAATGTGTTCCAGGCCATGCATCTACCAAGCAAAGTAGTCAGGACTCAAACATTGTTGATGCTCAGAGCTTCAAAGCCAGGATGATTTGAATTACGGGTGAGCCGTGATACTGACCACCTCCACTCAAGGTGGAGGACTCAGGAACAGCCTATCACTCCATAGTTGTATACAAAAATCATCTTCTCTCTGTGCTCCAACTTGAGGAAATTGGGGGATTTAACTCCAGAGACCATGATTTTCATGCTAGGCTCATTACATTCTTATGTAAAACAAAAAAAATTCAACAAAATATGATAAATTCAATACCCACATCCATTCTCTTCCTTTGAGAAACCCAATTGAAAGAGAATCAAAGAGGGCAGTGGTGGTGTGAAAACTTACAAGGACAAACAGAACTGGAGAGGGACAGAAGCCAAGCAAGATAACAGTATATGACTTGAAAGAGGAGGGCAGAACCTGGATTTAGCTGCTTATTGAGGAGAAAATGGATTTTGACCTTAAACTCTGGAATGTATCAGGATTTTGAGGCTCTGAGTTTCTCTGAATGCTCATAATGAAGGTTAGGACTTAGAAACCAGAAGACTGAAAAAAAGCTGTACCAGATGAAACCACTTCTTAGAGTCATCAACACATCAATTTTTTTTTCCTTTTTTTTTACAGAATAAGTGGATTGTGAGCTCCATTTTAGGGCAAGGGAAGTATATGAGGGAACCCACAGCCCAGCTGATCCAAGGAGTCTGGGTTGGAGAGTACAGTGTATGAGTAGCCAAGAGAGCGCAGTGAAACTAGAAAATTGTGTTTTCTAGTTTCTATTCACATGTGATGTGAATAGTATCTAACACAGGTCAGGCCTTAGAGCAAATCATTGTCCTTTAAATTAAGACCTGAAAGCTTGTTGACTGAAAACCAAGCATATGAAAAGCTTACCAGCACTAGTCATTCAGTTTCAGTCTACTTCTTAGTACTTACACTTGGTAAGTGCTAAAACTTGGAAGGTTTGCTAACTTTCCAATGTTGCAATTTAAGCTTCTATAATGTGAGACTGATAATCTTACCTCATAGGATTGCTGCAAGGTTTAAAATACGTAAACTGTTTAACATCAAGACAGTAGCAAGCCAAGCTAGTTCAGGAAAATAGCAAAGCCAGTGAACAAACCACCCCCTCAAAAAACAACCCCCAAATCTTCACCTTCATCAATATACCTAAATTTGTACAATCAGAACATTTCAAAAGAAACTATTTTAAACATGCATGTAACATTTATGCTACTTAAAAATAAAATTATATTTTAATTAATTTGAGCGGTAATCAGAATCTTTTCAATGTATAAGGCTGATAAAATTCTAGCTTTTAAATGCCCATTATTTCATAGTACTTGATAAGCCTAATTAACTTACCTTTCGAGATGACATTTTAAACAGCATAACCATAGATTCACTGATGAGAGTATCTAAGTAAGTAGAAAAGGCAAAATGATAGGGAATGTACAGAAAACAGAGAAGAGAGGGAATAAAAAGTTATGACAAGTACTCAAGGAAGCATGAAGGAAGGGAAGAAACCAGGCCAGAACACTTAATGCCTAAGAAAGGGATACTGAAAAATAGCAGGAAAGCAGAGTAGAACTGGAACGAAAAGAGAAAAAAAAGATACAGGGGCCCTATAACTGAATTTTTTCCTACTTTACAATTTTTGTACCTGGTATTAAAGTTCACTAGTACAAGTTAACCTTATTACAAGAGAGGAAGAGAAAGAGGGAAGAAGGAAAAAAGGAATCAATAGAGAGAGAGAGATTTTTTTAAATACACAATTTAAAAATAATTATAGATCGTTCCGTCATACATTCTGCTGGCCACATAATTCATAGTTTTATCTAAATTCATTTACAAAACAAAAAACGTGTAAGTATTACAACTTGTAATATTTTTGTTTCTAATTCTTATACTTCTAGTGTCTTGGAAATTGTGAAAACTTGACAAGTGAAAGTGTTTGCATAAAACATTTTTATTTCCAAGGCAGGTACACATTGAGCTGAAATCTGAGCATACAGGAATACTGCAGACTTATTCCAATTTAAGAAAACATTCCTGGAAAATATTCTTGCTTTTATGGTTCAAAAATAGTCTTAAGAAACTTCTATAATAAAATAGTACATAGAATAAAATTATAAACTGCAATTTTGAAATTTTCTTCTTTTTGTCCACATAGCAATTACAATAACACAAGAAAAAAAGGAAAATGAAAAAATTATTTTAAAACAAATAATATTTCAGTGGATAGGAAGACACTCAACAACTCTAGTTCATTCTTTAGCCAAAGAAAATATGACAGGAGATTCATTCACCAACCTTACTTTTATCCTTAAAAGAAAAACACTGAAAATCATTTCTAGTTAAGAAAAAGAATGTTGGTCTTTCCATTTGAGATGAAAAAAAAAAAAACCATGAAGGAAGCAATCTGTGCGAATAGTTTCAACTATTTTTTTCAAGTTCTTGTCTTGTTTTGTTTTTTCTTCTGTATAGCAATTTGCCACTGAGAAAAAAATTTATCCTCAATGTAGTTGTGAAGTCAATAAAAATTATGAGTACTTTAATCAAATCACCAGTCTCTAAGAGGTTATTTTAATTCTTCTGCAGTCAGAGGTAAATCCCAAGGAATTGCACTGTTTCCATTTCATATTCCCACACTAAAACATGAGTGTTGCATTCAAATATTTATAATACTTTCAATATATCAGAAATGATCTCATTATTGTGACAGCAATGATGAGAAGGAAAAGGAATATCCTTTGTCATACATTTTTTTTGCAACAGCTTAGGTTGCACTCGTGTGTGTGTCTGTGTGTGTGTGTGTGCATGTATGTGTGTGTGTGTCTACGATAGGTTGAGTACATAAGCAATTACGCTAGGAAATGAAATGAAGGCCAGTTTATAAGAACAAAAGCTGCTCTTATGAAACAAGGAATTGGGCAATGATTTGGGGACTTCAAAGGCAGCACAAGAGTTCAGCTGGAGTATGATTTCAAATTGGAAGAAATATAAGAAAAAAGAAATGACTTAACTTACTTAGGCAGAACATGAAAACAGATGTTTCATTTATCTATTGGAAACATTGTAGAAAATAAAACTAAAAAAATATGAATGTGTGTTGGGTTTGGGGAAGATTATAGTGAAACCTGGTCAATATTTAGCTGTGCAGTTTTTTTGGTCTAATTTCTACACATCCTAACCTACAACTTCACTACCTTGTGGATGCCTAGAGAGC